AATATCAGGTCTGAATTTGCGAATTTCAGGTAAGACCTTGGATTAGCCTTATATTTTTTATGTATGTCCCTCTTTGATGATATGTATGGTTTTGTAGTGTGAAACTAATGATTAAAAAATAATTTAGATGGATTTGAAGAAGGTTAAAGGATTTTAAATGAGTCCAAAATTTGAAGAATTGTACAATATCAGGTCTGAATTTACGAATTTCAGGTATGACCTTGGAGGACCCTTATGTTTTTTACATTTTTTACAGTTTTTTGCTATTCACGGTTTTTTAGTGCGGAACTAAGATGTAAAATATAATTTAGATGAATTTTAAGAAGGTTGAAGGATTTTAACAAGTTCAAATTTTGAAGAATTGTACAATATCAGGTCTGAATTTACGAATTTCAGGAAAGACCTTGGATGAGCCTTATACTTTTGCATCTGTCACTCTTTGGTGATATGTATTGTTTTTTTGTAGTGTGGAACTAAGATGGTAAAAAATGATTAAGATGGTTTTGAAGAGTGTTTAAGGATTTTAATGAGTCCAAAATTTGAAGAATTGTATAATATCAGGTTTGAATTTTCAAATTTCTGGTATGACCTTGGACGACCCTTTTGTTTTTTACATCTGTCCCTCTTTGATGATGTTTATGGTTTTATGGTATGGAACTAAGATGTTCAATATAATTTAGATGAATTTTGAGAAGGTTTAGGATTCTCTAACAAGTTCAAAATTTGAAGAATTGCACAATATCAGGTTTGAATTTACAAATTTTAGGTAAGACCTTCGATGAGTCTTATATTTTTTTACATCTGTCCCTCTTTGATGATATGTATGGTTTTGTAGTGTGGAACTAAGTTGTAAAAAATAATTCAGATGCATTTTAAGAAGGTTTAAGGATTTTAACAATTTGAAGAATTATACAATATCAGGTCTGCAATTAATGAATTTCAAGTATAACCTTGGTTGGCCCATATGTTTTTTCTACCTATCACTTTTTCATGATATATTTGGTGAAGTAGTGTGGAAATGTGTTAAACATAATTTATATGGGTTTTAAAGAAGCTTAACGTTTTAAACAAGTTCAAAATCTTGGCGTATTGTACAATATCAGATCTGAAATTAAGAATTTAAAGTATAACCTTGCTTGCCCCGTATATTTTTAACATCTATCCCTTTTTGATGATATGGTTTAGTAGTGTGGAGCTAATATGTAAAACATAATTAAGATGGGTTTTAAATAAGTTTAAGGTTTTAAACAAGTTCAAATATTGATGAATTGTACAATATCAGAGCTGATATTAATGAATCTTGGGTATTACCTTCTTGGACGAGCCTTGTGTTTTTACATCTATCCCTTTTTGATGACATATATGGTTTAGTAGTGTTGAACTAAGATGTTAAACATAATTTAGACAAGTTTTAAAAAAGTTTAAGGTTTTAAACAAGTTAAAAATTTGAAGAATTGTACAATAACAGGTCTGGTATTTATTAATTTTAGGTATAACTGTGGATGGCCCTTATTCCTTTTTTACATCTATCCCTCTGATGATATAATATATGGCTGGTAATATATAGTAGTGTGGAACTAAGAGGTAAAACATAATTTAGATGGGTTTTAAGGAGGTTTTTGGTTTTAAACCTGTTCAAAATTTGATACACTCTCGTACAATATCATATCTGACATTAATGAATTTCAGGTATATATCTCTATGATAATATATATGGTTTAGTTGTATGGAACTAAGATGTAAAACATAATTTAGATGGGTTTTAAGGAAGTTTAAAGGCAGAATCAGATCCATGGGATGACAAAATTACAAGCAACATGTACAATTCACCTACCAATCTATTCCTTATAATCTCAAATACAATATCTCTAAAAAGATTCACGATGTGAAATAAAGTGTGCACTTTGGGGATAACTAGCAAATAGACATGAAAAGGAATGACATAACCCAGCAATATTCAAAAATTTAAACATTTTTTGTAAGGCTGCTTGCTAGATCTGATTCTCTCTTTAAGGTTTGAAAGAGGTTCATAACTTAACAAATTGTACAATATTAAGTCTGAAATTCTTAACTTCTTTGATGATTTACATGGTTTTGTAGTGTGGAACTAAAATGTAAAACAAAATCTAGGAATTTGGAGTTTTAAGGAGGTTTTTATTTATTTTTACTTATTGTTTATTGCTACTTCAGACTAGGGTTAAACTTCCTTAAAACCCCAAATTCCTAAATTATGTTTTACATTTTAGTCCTATAATACAGAACCACGTTCATCATCAAAGACGTTTAGAATGTAAAGAACATGAGGATCATTCAAAGCTTTACCTGAAATTTGTTAATTTCAGACCTGATATTGTACAATTTGTCAAGTTTTGAACCTCTTTAGAACCTACAACTTCCTTAAATCCCATCTAAATTATGTTTTACATCTTAGTTCCATACTACGAAACCATATATGTTATCATATCAGATATATGTAAAAAACATAAGGCTCATCCAAGGCTATACCTGAAAAATAATAATGATGGCAGAAGAAAAGACTTGCAAAATGTACCATTTAAAAAACAGAGTGGTAGGTCAATTTGACCCCCCCCTGGAGACATTAGGGTTGAACTTCCTTAAAACCCCAAATTCCTGAATTATGTTTTACATTTTAGTAGTACAATACAGAACCATGTAAATCATCAAAGAGGTTTAGAATGAAAAGAACATGAGGATCATTCAAAGCTATACCTGAAATTTGTTAATTTCAGACCTGATATTGTACAATTTGTCAAGTTTTGAACCTCTTTGGAACCTAAAACTTAATTAAAACCCATCTTAATTATGTTTTACATCTTAGTTCCATACTACAAAACCATATATGTTATCATAGAGAAATTTATGTAAAAAACATAAGGCTCATCCAAGGCTATACCTGAAATTCGTTTATTTTAGATCTGATATTGTACAATTTGTCAAGTTTTGAACATGTTTAAAACCTTAGACCTCCTTAAAACCCATTTTAATTATGTTTTACCTCTTAGTTCCACACTATTAAACCATATATATCATCAAAAAGGGGTAGATGTTAAAAAAAGGGCCAACAAAGGTTATACTTGAAATCTGTTGATTTCAAATCTGATATTGTACAATTCGCCGAGATTTTGAACTTGTTTCAAACATTAAGTTTTTTAAAACCCATCCAAATTATGTTATACATATTATTTCTAAACTACTAAACCAAATACATGTATATCACGAAAAGGGATAGGTGTAAAAAACATAAGAACCAACCAAGGTTATACTTGAAATGTGTTAATTGCAGACCTAATATTGTACAATTCTTCAAATTTTGAACTTGTGAAAATCCTTATATTCATCTTAATTATTTTTGACATGTTAGTTTCACACTACAAAATAATACATATCATCAAAGAGGGACAGATGTAACAAATATAAGGCTCATCGAAGGTCTTACCTGAAATTCGTAAATTCAGACCTGATATTGTACAATTCTTCAAATTTTGAACTTGTTAAAATCCTTAAACCTTCTTAAAATTCATCTAAATTATATTTTACATCTTAGTTCATTACTATTAAACCGTAAATATCATCAAAGAGTGACAGATATAAAAATCATAAGGGTCATCCAAGGTCATACCTTAAATTCGTAAATTCAGACCTGATATTGTACGATTCTTCAAATTTTGAACTCATTTAAATCCTTAAACCTTCCTCAAATCCATCTAAGTCATTTTTAACATATTAGTTTCACACTACAAAACTATACATACCATCAAAGTGGGACAGATGTAAAAAATATAAGGCTAATCCAAGGTCTTACCTGAAATTCGCAAATTCAGACCTGATATTATACAATTTTTCAAATTTTGGACTTATTAAAACACTTTAACCTTTTTAAAAACCATCTTAATTATTTTGTACATCTAAGTTCCACACTACAAAACTATAAATATCATCAAAATGGGACAGATGTAAAAAATCTAAGGCTCACCCAAGGTCTTACCTAAAATTCGTAAATTCAGACCTGATATTGTACAATTCTTCGAATTTTGAACTTGTTTAAAACTTTAAACTTCCTGTAAACCCATTTTAATTATCTTTTACATCTTAGTTCAATACTTTAAAACCATATTTATAATCAAAGAGGGATAGATATAGAAACCATAGGCATCAGCTATAGTCATACCCAAAATCACTCCTCTCAAAAATGTCAAAATTTTCAAAAAATCAACAATTTTTTTCTCGGTTCCTACTGATTCAATTAGTTTGAACCTATCAGGGCTTATAGCCATGCTACTGAGCACTTCACATGAATTTTCCCAATGTCTTCCAGTGTCTGAATCAAAAGTGAGGCTCGAAAAAGTAAGAAAATGGGTCACGAATTTGCCCCCTGGGGTACATACTTTGTACTATTATTCAAATTCTGTAGGAGTGATTGGCATTATTTATTATGCAAATGATTCATATATATAATGTCTATGTATGTAACTTACAAACATCAAGATATCTAAAGTTATCAAGAATGAAAAAAATTATTTTCCCGGGGTGGGGTCTTTTTGGGGGTGGGGGTCTAATCCCTGAAAAAAAAGAATTATGTACCACTCTGTGAAGCTATCACCTAGGTAGAATTTTCATCCAAGACTTCCTTCTAACTGAAAATGCTGCCAAACCAACTATACTCCATTTATTAAGAATTTTCCTCCTCGCTCTTAGAGTAGTGATATGTTTTTACGCTACAACATATTCATAAATATGGCATGATATTAAATTCTTAAATATCTAAAGTCAAGAATACATAAACACGTATCTATATACAAACAGTAACAATTGTAAATATATTATATAAATCTCTTCAGTGAGAAGAAAATACATAATCCTGTACACACTCAGTTAAGACCGTGGCCGAGTGTACACTCTCAGTTAAGACCGTGGCTGAGTGTACCCTCTCAGTTAAGACCGTGGCCAAGTGTGCACGCTCAGTTAAGACCGTGGCCGAGTGTACACTCTCAGTTAAGACCGTGGCCGAGTGTACACTCTCAGCTATGACATGTGGCTGTTTGTCACTATTTAGACTGTTGCCACTACAGTATCTAGACGGTTGCCACTATTCAGGCTTACATGCACCACTATGTAGACTGTTGTCACTATTTAGACTGTCACCAATATTTTGACAGCTGAAACTAACTAGACTGTTGCCACTGTTTAGAATGTTGTTACTATTCAAACTGTTGCCAATATTTTGACAGCTGCATCTAATTAGACTTTTGCCAATGTGAATGTTGCCACTATGTAGACTGTTGCCACTATGTAGACTGTTACCACTGTGTAGACTGTTACCACTGCGTAGATTGTTGTTACTATTTAGGCTGTTGCCAATATTTTAGACTACAGCCACTATGTAGACTGCTGTTACTATTTACATGTAGACTGTTGCCACTACTCAGACTGTTGCTACTATGAAGACTATTGTAACTATTGGAAGCATTTAGACTGTTACCACTAGTTAGGCCATTGCCACTATCTAGTCTGTTGCCACTAGAGTATGTTACAGCAGTCATCATTGCCTTGGGGTACAGGGACAGGTGGCAGCAGGGAGGGGTCAGGCTCAACTGGATCTCCAACAAAATATAGCCTACAAAGTAAAATGAACATTTGTAAGGTCATGGTAGCACCCGGTACGCTGGGTACGCACTAGGGGTGGGACGGATAACCGAAATACCGAAAAAACCGCGGTTCAGAGCCATCGGATCGGTTTTCGGATCGCTACCCTACTGTCGGTTCGCATTTTCGGTTCATTTTCGGTTCAGTATTTGACCTACAAGTAAAAATAAAACACTGTTTTACAGTGTTTGTCAACATTTTTGATATTTCCCTACCTCGTCTGCTGCTAGCTCACTCGTTTACACTCGTTTCGTATCCAGGTGCTTAAAATAAAAATTAGCAGCCCATTTGGTTAGGAAGCCCGAGAAATGGTTAAATCTCCCTGATATATTGAACCCAACCTACTTAAATTACTTGCTTATTCCTTGGATATTCAATTACCTTAATTACACAACATAATTACAAGAGAACATGCATGAAATAATAGAGAAATAGGCATGAAATGGACCAACACAAAATTTCTATGTTCTAAGATCGGCAAAAATTGAACAAACTGACAACGCTCCATTTTACATTTATTCCTGCCAAGTCCACTCTAATTTTAAGTGATGTAGGGTATTAATTTGCGCGCACAAAGCATCCATATTTGAGTTCCTATATAGGAAATGCATCATAGATGTCACGACATCTGAAAAGACATCATCAGTTTAGCGTTTGCACGATAGTAGGCCTATAAGAAAAAGGTTTCTTCTACAAGTAAAATAAGTTATTTTATTGTGGGTAATAAAATAAAGTGACAATCAGTAGTGTAGTCCGAGATAAAGGCATTCAATCTATAACAATCGCTAAATTGAATGAACCGAACCGAAAAAACTGAACCGACGGCCGGGGAACCGAAAAACCGAACCGAACTGAACCGAAACGAACCGTCCCATCCCTAGTACGCACAGGCGTACCAGATGGTTGCAAATTCGCTCCAAATACAACCAAATTTCAAAATTTTCCCCAGACCCCCCTAAATGCTTGTTTTTTTATTCTTGACTCTTGTTCCTGTGGTGGTGGCGTACTACTTGGAAAAATAGCGCTACGCCCATGAAGGTAGAAGTGAGAATAACATTAGTATATTAATATAGTTATAATATCAAGAATAGATTTTGGAATGTATGGGCAAAGGCGAATGTTGAAAATGACATTCAAACTCAAATCAAACACTTTTTCTTCAACAACATATCTGAAAACATTTTAGGTAATGCAGTTTCTCAAATTCAGGCAACTGTCAACTAACTTTAATGGTATTTATCCTTTATGAATGGGGTCATTAACATTCACTACCTTTTTAGAACAAAAAGCTCTAATATAACTACACACAGTGACAACATACATCCCTTAATACCTCTATACATATACAACGAAGTGCTGTAAGGAGACTTTTTACATAATACAGCCAGATGTAGTTACTATTCATACACCATAGATCATACAGCCAGATGTAGATACCATCTACATACCTTAGAACATACAACCAGATATAGTTACCATCTTAATACCTTAGAACATACAACCAGATGTAGTTACCATCTACATACCTTAGAACATACAGCCAGATGTAGTTACTATCCCCTCTGTGCCTGGTATAGCAGTTCTCAGCATTTGGTCCCTCAGAGCCACAGCTCTTAATCTGAATAGTCTCACAGGATATTGGCGTCATACCTTTAACATTAAGATCAGAATTAGGCTTTTACTATGTGGGTAATTGTATGTTATGTACATGCATAGAAAGTATTGGCAAAAATAATAGAAAGCAAAACAAGAAATTTAATGTTTAAAGAATTGCAAAGGTGCATTATGGAGTGTGTTCCTTTCTTATAATATGATATTGAAGACAAAATGATAAATAAGAACTATCACCATTGAATAGAATAAAATAATTTCCAGACTTGTGACATCACAGTCAAACCCTACCTGTTAAAGCGAACCAAGCCATTGCACGTTTCATTGTATCAGCCTGCGTTTCCCAGTCACCGGATCCAAATGTTGACATTCTCAACAGGGCTGGGTAAAATACCTTGTAGTTTAGGAGTTGTGGAGCAGGTACCAATCCAGCTTCTTGGTTAAATGGCTTGGACACACAAACTCGGAGTATGCGTATGAACTTTGTGGTGCTCTCTCCATGTTCCAAAAATAATGATCGCTGTGTGTCTATCTCACCTACAAAATGAAATTTTTTTTTGAATGAAGCAAGTTGAAAAGTGTGTCATAAAAAAGTTTGTCATCATTATTTCAAAATATCCTTTCTAAAATGACAACCCCTTGTGCACAAATTCTGGAAACTACAAGTTACTCAAGTCACATGATCCAGAAGTTCATATATTCAAATATCTTAAAATTTAAAAGGATATTCAACTCAACTCATCTCCCAAGCATTAAAGCAAGTGTGCACTGCACTCGTGTGTACTATCCTTACTCGGTTTGTTTATTTCATCGTATGAGGAAGGTAGTTCTATTAAAAACTTGTTTGGGGACTTCAATGGTATAGTACAGCATGATCTTTGGATAGAATACTTTAATTTGCAGGCATATAATGCCCAGAATAACTGGGAAACATGTGATCATAACAGTGAAGGGTAAAATATTTGGGATTATTTTCTGCGGATGGATGACTTTGGTAGTGGTGAATTGGTCAATGTACATAAGTATGACGTTTTGGTACTCCAACTATATATGTAAGAGAGCAGAACTTTTGATTTTCTTGGGATGTGATATGAGAAATTCTAATTTGGACTTTGTCAATTTAACATGCAACTCAATGGTACAAAAAGTAGGGAGAGTTCTACCCTCACTTGAGGTTTTTAAAAGAGCTAGCAGCCACTCAAAAATCCATTTGCACCGACTTGAAAATAAGATAAATCATGTTGGCATAGTTTGACCAAATTCAGTCTAAATTGTAGAATTAAGACTAAATGAAGAAATTTGCACCCACTTAAGATAAAATCCTGGGGAATAGCCTGACAACGGTAAAGTCAGAATTTGAGTAATTTAGAAAGACAACGGAATATGGTAATTACAGTGTCTGTTGTCCCGTATCTCATTTTGATAAGTTAAATTAAAGACTTTATTTCGATGGTAGAATATTATTAACTGTACAACGAGTATAAAGACACTGATTGATTGTTGTTCCAAAGGAATTAAGTCTAGGTGCTCTATTAAACATACAGTTCATGAAAATCTAATTGAAGCTACGGTTATGTCCACCATTTGTGACAACGGTATCTGACTTTACCGTTGTCAGGCTATTCTGGGGTGACACTGGCACTATATATAAGTCAGGCCCGTAGCCAGAATTTTCCAAGGGGGGGTTCACTTTTCCAAAAAATTCTAGGGGGGGTTCACTTTGGCAAATCTGGCCAAAAATCACTCAAAAAATAGTCAGAATGGTGAAAAACTGCATGATTTTGAAAGAAATTTTGGACAGGGGGGGGGGGGGGGGTTCGCCCGACTGCTACGGGCCTGTAAGTATTTGCTTGTCACTATTGCATGACAAATAAAGGAACAATTAATTTGCTTACCAGTCCAACTTTGAATCTTGTAGTTAATTGACTGCACATTAATAAGACTGACAGAATACTGTCCAGCCAGCCAGTTCCTTGCCTGCTGGGCCACAGATGAAAATGGCTCAAATCTTGGTTGGGAAAACAGTTCTTCTGTGTTGGTTTGTTGAGGGTAAAAGTCAGCACAGCCTATAGAGTAAAGGTTAGTCTTAAAGCATATGAATGTTTCCCAATTAACAATCATAGACTAATTTTCTATTCTACTCAAGTTCAAGAGATCTGATAATCCAAGGGGCGATCATATATTCCAATAAAAATCTTCTCATTTTGATTTTTTCATATATCCCTCTATTTTTCAATTATACAAGTTATTGAAGATTTAAGATATGACAATGTCCAAATTCATTAGAAACAATCGGTGGCACTTAGACTTTTAAGAGGAATGTAACATCAAAGTTGTTCTTACAGACTTGCTCATGCGCAGGTTGGCCAAGCTGATAGAAGACCCGGACCACAAACAGATAATACTGGCTATTTTCTCCGTACTCTAGCCAACTGGTTTTATCAGGATCAATACCATTTTCCTTATAAGATGAAAATTTCATTTCTTGTGTTTCAATATTAATGATTTTACCTGGAAAAGAAAAGTATACATTAAGCCAAGTAAATATTGTCAATGTTTCTGATCAATGGGATGGAATCAAAAATTTCAAAACAACACTTTATTACAATGCTTCCATATGTATTTTAATTCACTCATTTCCATCCAACTGAACATTTGAAAAAACAAGATTTTTGGGATATTTTTTACTTTTGTTCATTTCTTAATAATATTCAATAAAAGATTTTTCAATACTAGTATTTCCATTTATTTCTTTGATTTAAAAAGTAGAATACTGGTATATAAGTTATAATATTTGAAAATTATGTGAATATTTGGGATTTTTTTCATCCGTTAAGTTTACCTGTCAGACCAGTGATTAAACAAAAACTTACCAACTGGTTGCATTCTCTGAGTTTCATTAAACCTATCAATTGTCTCCCCAAATGTTTCAAACTTTGGTTTGCCAAAGATTCCACCTCCATCTGTACATAGAGGTATGAGATTCTTATATCCTATCTGGTCAGGCTCAGGTGATGCATTCTGATCTTTTGATACAACCCAGACTCTGGAAATACAGTGATATTATGTATCCCATTACTGTAATATGTTTGAGGTGTATAAAGCAAGTTCTAATATGTTGTATTTGCAACAGCAGACAGGATAGCTTTACGTCAGAGGAGATAATCCCAATATCCTGAACCTCATGTAAGATAATCTCCATTTACTTACATTCCCTGTAGGCAGGCCAGGTGACTTGAAACCTGGATCTCTAGGGAGAAGTGATTTTCAACATGGCTGAGAGGCTTCTCCCTCAGGAGTCAATATGATGTAATTTATGCAACTATCCAAACATGAACTCATTGTCTCGCATATGGTGACATGGCAATGAAGGTTTGTATTATTTTTCCCATTTGTAAGTTGAACCATGATACTTGGCAAATCAATGTAGCTTTGGACAAGCTTTAAAATAATATATGACACATACTATGGGGACATTGGTGTATACTGTATGTCTGCCTAGGGGGGGCCCCATACTTTCGGGACACCCAGTATATAGCATATCCCAAAGCTCACAAAGGTGGAGTGAAGTGGTCTTAATAAAAAATCTATTGATAAAATGTTATTTCCTCATGAAATATGACATAAACTTCATACCCATCATATTGCGAGGCCAGTCCTCAGGGTATTACTATCAGTACTAGTTTCAGGCCCGTAGCCAAGGGGGGAGGAACAGTAATTCTTTCAAAATCATGCAGTTTTTCACACTGAGCACTTGTCAAGTGATTTTGGCTATTGTTTTGGGCCAAAGATGTCCCCCCTCCATGGAATCTTTCAACAAGAACACAAATGTGTACAAAATGTCCCCACCTTTGGGTGATCCCGTCAAATGGTTATCCTAAAAATGAGTAGACAAGACTTTACCGACACAATTTGAGGAGGGAATATCCAAAATGGCCACCTTAAAATTGACCCAAAATGCCCAAAAATTAGTCAGTCCTAGATTTTATTACTAAGAGCCACCCCTGAAAATTTGAAATTGATCCCTCACACAGTTAACCAGAAAACATGTAAACAAGACTTTACAGACAAGATTTCAGGATGGAAAATACAAAATGGCTGCCTCGACATTTACCCAGAATGCCCAACAACTAACTAGATTTTCATACTAAGAATCATCCCTGAAAATTTGAAATTGATCTACCACACGGTTCACCTAAAAATGCGTAGACAAGACTTTACGGGCAAGATTTTAAGATGAAAATCCAAAATGGCTGCCTTGACATTTATCCAGAATGCCAAAAAACTAATCAGATCTAGATTTTCATACTAAGAATCATCCCTGAAAATTTGAAATTGATCTACCAAACAGTTCACCTGGAAATGCGTAGACAAGACTTTACAGACAAGATTTTAGGACGGAAAATCCAAAATGGCTGCATTGACATTTACCCAGAATGACCAAAAACTAATCAGATCTAGATTTTCATACTAAGAATCATCCCTGAAAATTTGTAATTGATCTACCAAACGGTTCACCTGAAAACGTGTAGACAAGACTTTACAGACAAGATTTTAGGACGGAAAAATCCAAAATGGCCGACAATAAAAAAGTGATTATGAGTTTTTGCTGATTTCCTTTTACAAAATTATCACATATTACTACTGTTAACAATAACATAGGCTTTTACAACAAAGTACACCTGAAATTATTTATAAAGCTACTAAATAGTTAAAGTATGAAAATTGAAAAACACCATTCAATATGATACAAAGTATTATCGCGCGCTAACTTTTCTTAAAACATTCAAAATGGCTGACATGACTGAGCTAACAGGTCCAAAACCTAATCAGATGTAGAATGAAGTGAGCTGAACAAGATATTAAAGTTTCAAAAGCAGCTGTGAAGCCATTTTTCTTAAAGTTTGCAGACAAGGATTTTAGCATTTGACTTCAAAATGGCCGACAGGAAGTAGGTATCCACTTAAATTTTTTTCATCCACATCTAGATGCACTCATAAGTTATCCCTGAAAATTTGAAGGTGATATCTGTGGCGGTTTTGGAGAAAACTGCCGGACGTACGGACGGACGGACAGACAGACGCGCCTAGGCCGACAATATGGCCCCACACTATGTGGTAGTGGACTATACTGGTCAATTAGGTTAATTAGGTGCATTAATTGGGTAATTAGGTATATCAATTACGTTAACCTAAATAGAAACTTTAAAAAACATATACTTCATGTATTCCTGTAATGAGGGCAAACTGTCCTATATAGTCTGACTTTATCTTAGAGCTCATGATTTATGAGACATATGAGCTAAAAATATACAAGTGGATGTAATATTTCTGTATTGGTAAGTGTGTAATTGTTTATCTTGAGTTGAAACTTCATGTGCATGAAGTGAAAGATAATGATACTGATCTACATACAACAGAACTTATGTGATAATTGGATTGGAGCCCGGAATTTGAATCTACACTTGTTTGTTTATCTCAGGAACACTTTTGCAAGAAAGACTGGTTTGAAGAGTATTGTTTAAGGGTTTATACTGGAATAACTGGAATATTTACTGAGTAAGGTAAAATTATATAGCATTTATTGAAATTTTAACATCAACTTTTCTAGTTCTAGATATATTGTACTACACTATATAATCATTCCTAAAAGATACATAGAGCACTTAAGGGACTCATGTCACTGGCCAGGGGGAGTTTAGGGCGTGTGAGCCAAGCCCCCCCCCCTCTCTCTCCCTGACCAATTATTTCAAAACCATATAGTTTTTCTCCATTCTGAGCACTTTGCAAATGAAAATGGTCAAACGTGACCCCTACCCCCTTGGAAAAAGGTGCTACAGGCCTGGAAACCTTTCAGTTAACTGTAAGTGCAAATACACCACTTTTCTTAACAGCTAATAATATGGAACAACTAACAGAACTACCAATAATTGACTGCACCAAGATCAACATAACTTTGGATGATGCTGAAATTGATGACAATGACTTGAGAGAATTTGGCGAGGACATCTTTGAATCCTTCAAGCGATATGACGTCACATCAGCCGTGTTGACAAACCATGGAATCTCAGAAGAAGTTGTAAGTACATGTACTAATTCCATATTTATGGTGATAATATCAATATGGTAAATCCATGTGACAAAAAAAATTACGATAATTGAACTTCCTCACATTAGCTATTTTCAATGTCAATCATTTCAATACATGTGAACTGTTTAAATTCATCTGATAAATTATGATCTTGATTTAGCTGTTTTATTCATAAAGGTAAAAGCTGCAGAAAGAGTGACAAGTGAACTGGAAAAACCTGACTTTAAGAAAATAGCTCCATATTTTGCACCAATGAAACTTGGTGAAGAATTCCAAAGAAAATGTGATATTCATATAGATGGGGAAGATGGAGGAATAGTGAAACACTCATTTGCAACAAAGCATGGTGTTCAACTACTAACCAAAAAGTAAGCTCCACATAATGACACTCTACCTAACCCCTAGAAATGCATAAGATACTCTGTTTGTCCAATTGTGTTGTTTAGTATATTTTTGAAAGTACTTCATTAACATCTAACGTCATCTGATAACCCATTAAAATAAGGAACAGACAAATAAAAATAAATAACATAATCATTACTAGTAAGCCAAAAGGGTTGCTCATGAACACCTAATGCAAGGTATAGTAGAGTGAATGAAAGGGATTATAAGTTTCAAACTGAAGTTGGAGACAATGTATGTATGTAATGAGTTATGTGTACATGAAAATAACATGAAATTCCAAGGAAACCATTTAATATTTTTAAATAATATATGGAACTACCTCAAAACTTAATAACTCAAAACTTCACTTCATTTATACTCAAGTTACCATAACTTCACCCTTCCTGTTAGTAGGAATTAGAGGTAAAAATGATTCTCTGATTTATAGAATCTGAGTAATTAATATGATGTAACAACTTCTCATATCTATACATGTATAATACCTATACTTTCTTATTTAGACTGATGTTATTGAAAAAAGACAAATCAGGAGACACATTTAATCCAGAAAATGGGCGCACTCTACGCTTTGTACCATCATTAGCCCAGGTAAAATTATATTTATGGTAATATGCACTCTGACTTGTATAAGTGTTTTTCTCAAGGTTACTTATACCCAAATATACCAATAGAGCATGATGGAACATCTATAGATTTAGGCTTGCCTTGAACCTGTTGGAACTTCATGGGACTCCATGGGGCAACTGGACTTTAAATTTGCATCACTGACGCATGTTGGAATTTAATCCTTATTTTTCCGTATTTTTGTCAAAATATCTCAACATTTCATCATTGTGACATTTTTATGCTAATCATCTTTCATACGTTACATAACTGAAAACATGATACATAGCAGTTTTTCAGAGATATGGAGTCTACTCATATGGATGAAAATGATATCTCTCAAATGTAAGAAAACATATTTTTTAGGTATCTGTTCTTAACATTGATGACATAATACCTGGATTCAACAAAGCATACAATGCCTTGTTCTGTGAATCACTCAAACTGGCCAAACGTGTCCTCACTGCGCTAACCTTTCCTTTACATACAGACCGGGACTACTTTAACAAAATGATTGAAGATATCCATACACCAGGCGAGAATGGGAGTGCTTTGCGAGGAAATATTCTTCCAAAAGTACCCCAAGATTTTCCAATTGATGACCAGGTTGTGAGAATAAATGAACACGAAGATAGGAGCATTATAACTATCCTCCACCAAGCAAATGTTAATGGTCTTACAGTAAGTCAAATGGTATTTTGAGTCAATTATACTTGGGACAAATAATATGAATACCATTTGGTATTACATACACTTAAATCTGTTTATCAGAACACCTTTCTAATCCAAACACAACTCAGGATACCCTTTGCATTCGTTTGACTTCACTTCTTAAAAGAGAGCTTCGTCTTCACTCTTTCAAACTAAAATAAATCTGTGATTTCACCGCGCCAATCAGTGTTCGTCGGCCAAATTTGACCGACGTTCTATATATGGTCATTCCTTCTGACGTCATCGTTGAGCCCGGAATTGACCAATGACATGCGTATGTTTAATTAGAACGCATTTGATGTATGTTTCTTCAAGCTCGCTGATTGGTGGAAGAAAGGTCAGTGCGTAGGTCAGAAGTGATTTATTACCCAAACTGTCACCGGTACCCGTCGTGGGGGTGGGGCTACTAAACTGTAATATGGTCTCTACTAGGCAGAGTATAGTTTAACTAGACTCTGCATGCAGGGTAAACTCAGGAGTGATCCCCCCAGCATTCAAGCAAGTGGGCGCAGCATCCACCTGCGATTTTGAAAATAGGCTTGCACCCACCTGAGAATTTTGCAACCACTTGAAAATGAGAAAAATCATGAAAAATCGGCATATTTTGACTAATTTTGATCTACTTGAGAAAAAATCCTGTGGAGATCACTGCTCAGAGAAAACTTTTTCTTGGTTCCAATTTTGATATCTTCCATCTACTCACTAATTACAAACCTTGAAGCAAATAGGCTTTCTAAACACTTTTGGCCAGACCCAGTCCCAGGGGCATTTGGATAAGACAGGTTTAAATGTATCCAGTATGTACAGATTGCCTTAACCTTTTCATGACAATAGGCTCCATATGGAGCTCTATTACGTATTTATACCTTTCAGGATGATTGGCTCATTTTGGCACCACTATTTTTATTTGCATACATCAAAGAAATCTCCAGTTCTATTCAGTATTTTTACAACAAATTTTAACAAGTTATTGACATGAGATAATGTTTATTAAAATTGTATTTTAGTGATAAAATTTTAAGTATAGGTCCCAAGGTATACGTCATATCCAGTTTTTACCTAAAAACCGCTCTTTCTTATCTGTCACTAATAGGCCAACATTTTTCTCTTGTATTCACGTCGGGAAATGGTTAACTGATCAATTTCACAATAACAACATCCCATTGAATTTGAATAGCAGAAAAATGTTCAATCAATCATTGTGTTTGTTCTTTATCTGTTATTTACCACTCTGTTCAAGGTGAAGACAATGTCAGGCAAGAGTGTCCCAGTGGTGCACAAGGGGGACTCATTACTACTACAAACTGGCAACATACTGGCAAGGCTCACATCTGGCAAACTGCCACCCACAGTTAGTGAATTCAATGAAATACCAAATACAATCTTATATGAAGCAATGAGTTGGGGAAAATTGATAAATATTGAAAATTAAAGAAAATAGTATGAAATCGTCATCACACATGTTTACATGTTACCTCTTTGAAATTGGTTTGATAATTTTGGGATTTGTTAAGACATCAAACTCACTCAATGAAAAGCTCCATAAGCATGATACAGTGTACTAAGAGAACTTAACAAGACACACAGTGATAAATATCGCACTTTGAAGAGCAAACTGGCCACCATGCAATTTACCCAGCATGGCCAAAACCTAATCAGACCTTGGCACTAGTCTGCTCTTGCATCTGTAAACATTTCAAGTTGACAAGGTTAGCGGTTTTCCTGCAATTTTGATGACAAGAATTTATTTGTAGTCTTGAACTTTGGGAAAATTTAGATAACATTGTTTGTGACCTAATTTGATGACCTTCGACCTTGAAAATTTTTCAGACCTCAGTAGGTCTTTTGTAATTAGCTGACCTAAATTTAAATCCAAAATATCAATTTAGAAAATCAAATTTTTGATCTAAGGTCAGATTTGAACTTTTGAGAACTTGTAGATGTTTTTAAAAAAAGAATTTGGTCAATTTGGAGCAAGTTGAAAAATTCAAAATGGGCGCCAAATTGAAAAATTCAAAATGGCCACCATGTAATTCAGCCAGCATACCCAAAACCTAATCAGATCTTGGCAATAGTCTGTTCTTGCATCTGTAAAAATTTCAAGTTGAACGGATAAGTGGTTTTCCTGGAATTTTGATGACAAGATTTGTTGAAAAATTCAAAATGGCCACCACATAGTTTACCCAGCATGCCCTTAACCTAATCAGATCTTGGCACTAGTCTGCTATTGCATGTGTAAAAATTTCAAGTTGAACAGGTTAGAGGTTTTCTTGGAATTTTGATGACAAGAATTGATTTGTAGTCTCAAACTTTGAGAAACTTGGATAACATCATTTGTGACCTAGTTTAATGACCTTGAATTTCGACCTTGAAAATTTCACTTTTTCAGACCTCAGTAGGTGTTTTGTAATTAAGCTGACCTAAATTTAAATCCAAAATATCAATTTAGAAAATCAACTTTTTTGACCTTTTCAAGGTCACTGAAGGTGAATGAAAGGTCAAATCTGAAATCTAAGGTCAGATTTGAACTTCTGAGAACTTGTAGATGTTTTTAAAAAAAAAATTTGGTCAATTTAGAGCAAGTTGAAAAATTCAAAATGGCCGCCAAATTCAAAAATTCAAAATGGCCACCATGTAATTCAGCCAGCATACCCAAAACCTAATCAGATCTTGGCAATAGTCTGCTCTTGCATCTGTAAAAATTTGAAGTTGAACGGATAAGTGGTTTTCCTGAAATTTTGATGACAAGATTTGTTGAAAAATTCAAAATGGCCGCCACATAGTTTACCCAGCATGCCCTTAACCTAATCAGATCTTGGTACTAGTCTGCTCTTGCATCTGTAAAAATTTCAAGTTGAACAGGTAAGCAGTTATCCTGGAAATTTGATGACAAGATTTGGTTTATGTCCCGCCCGCCCGCACGCCCACCCAACAGCACAAGACGACGACAATATAGCACTTTTTCAAAGTGCGATAAAAAGTATATGCTCAATATACTTCTTAAGACAACCGCTATTATAGATAAAATATGGTGAATATTTTCTTTAATGTCTTATAAATTTAGTTGTTTCAGAGATTCAAATACATGTCTTTTAACTATGACTACAGCCACATTCAGTGATGGGTAACAAGGAACAACTACAACAGTCCAGAATTAGCCACGCCTTTCTCATATTTCCCGATGAAAAAGTTGAGTTACGCTGCATTGATGGCAGTGACACCTATCCACCGGTATCTGCATTTATTCTACTGAACGACCTTGAGAATCAAGACCTTCATGGTCTTAAGCATTGAATACATGGACAGAAAGGGAAGAGAAAGGGAAACATTGAACAAACTGTTTTGAAAACTCACAAAGGCACATTTATTTCTATTCACTATCCACTCATAGATGAAACTGATTATCGGTCAAGCCAAGTAACTTAGTCAACATTCGATATTCGTATGTCCATCAATATTAACTAAGAATGGTGCCACAATTGAAGTAAACCTCTGTTTAATTATTTTCAATAAACCTATCAGCAAACGTGTAAATGATAAATTTGATGTTCTGTTATATATTGGTGAAGCAGTCTTTGGGATATGGCCTAAATTTCTGAATTTCCACTATGTCCCTGTATACCCCTACTTAAAAACATGTATGTTATTTGTCATTTTTCATTATGAATCAACCATAAATGTATTTTTTCTTGTTTACACACAGAATGAACTTTTTGTTTTCAAATATTGAAAGATGGTACTGCATTTATTTTTTCATGACATGGAGGAAACAAATGCGTGTCAATTTACACTGTAATATCCCACACACTTATATTTCAAGGGTAGTTTTGAAGAATAATCAAGAAAATCCATGTTTTCAAATGAATTCATCCTTGTCAAAGAACGTAAATGAGGATATGCGGTTTAAAAAACTAACAACATGTTTTAAGTTCTTACAATTCTTGTTTAAAACAAACATTTCGAAAGTTGTGATTTCGAATGTAATATCCAACTCAATGAAATTTGTTGATATTTGTGAATTTTTTCTTTCGGAATGCACATTGCTGGATCACAGAACCTTGCCTTGTTCGAGATGCACAAAAAGGGTATTGTTAATACTTGACGTCGTTCGGATATTCGAATGTGACTGACGTTTTCGTTAATCTCCAACCACTGTAACTTCCAACTTAATTTTTGAAAGCCAAATATGATAGTCATGCATTGATATTTAAGTCACACGTGGATGCATACATCATGTGTCTACATTAACTGTTGAATACATGCCGACTTTCATTTATTTAAATATACACAGTTAACTCAAATCATCAATTCTCGAAACGGTTTATCATATAACCTGACCTGAGTTTAATGTTTCATTTTAATTTATAATTATGGTATCGGATTTGAGTATGATTTTAGTCGAGGCTTAAACAAAGCAATAAAACTGCGTGAAACCTTTTGTGAAAATTCGAACGTTTTTTTCAAGAATCCTCCTTCAAAGTGTTACCACAGTGCTCCCCGGGAGTGGAAATTTCGTCTTGTGTAATCAAAATAATAGCGGGTGGTTTGAATTTTTGTTTGAGTTTAGAGCTCAGCATCTATAAATTTAAAAATGTGTCGCCTCATTGAGAGGTACATGCAGATTTTGGCGATCTATCTTTATAAAAGGCTAAATTTTGTGCAAAAACAGGAGTTCACACGCTTACATTTGGAATTGAAATTTCCTACATAATTGTCGACTCATGTTTAAAAGTCATGAAAACAAGGTTGAACACAAAATAATAACCTAGTTACTGTCTATTTAGCATGGGATCACTGAGGGAAATATTATTAATGACTTAAATCGTTAACAGTTAAGTTCACCCCGGGTGATCAATATCCTGTGTTCCGAATTTCGTTCCAGCAAGTCAGTGACCCGAGTTGTGTTTTACTGAATCCCGACAAATATGGCGGCTAATTTGACAACAGACGATGTTGATGTCGACAATTATTCAAAACTTTCTGACAGCATAAGGTAAGACTGAATATAGAGTGGCGCATTCGGTGCCTAAATATGTTAGCAACATTTTCTTAGTTGTTTATCCATATGCGTTGGGCATTACTGCTAATCGAAGCATAAGTAAACGTGACCTCATTTTCAACGCTCGCTGGAAAGTATGTCACCGAGCAGTTTTTGACCTTCTGTTAGTTAATGAGATAAACTGTTATCATGGTATAATTGCTGGGTAGACGTTCAAAGTATGTACCAACTCGTGCTTCCAGTGAATGTAAACCATTTCTTTGCATAAGCGTCCTAGAAGGCATAATAAGATATATTCCATAGTACCGAATAGGAATCGCCAGTGTTCCGACGCACTTCATGGATAAATGCTTATAGACTATTGAATCATAATGAACAGAAGCAGTGTATACTCACGTGTGATATCTTAATTTATCAAAAATAAGAATTGAATGCATTTGATAATATTGATACTTTGCCAACTTGACTGATTTTTTTCTAGTCTGAGTAATTAATAAATGAGTAGTGGATTTGATTAATTGAGGATTTCCCATGTTAAAATATGTGAAAATTGTCAAGAGGCCACACACATCAGAGGATGAGAGTACAATACAACATGTGTAAATTATGAGACTATGTTGCAACACCTTCAAAGAATGGTCATTTCACAATCCACATTGCACATACTGTAGCAGGCATTTTTATGATATATTTTAACATTGTCACAAAAACCAGGGATTGACAAAAAATATAGCATATCATATAGCAGGTATATGCCAGGTATTGTAATATATTTCAACGTTGTCACTGTTAGAGTAGGCATTACAATTTACCCATAAAAATATAATAATATTGACAACAGGCTAAAAAGTCTTCACTAAGTAAGCCATAAATGTCACATAAAGGCGACGGTCACACCAGACTTTCACGATAGCATTGCTAAGGTGATGGCAGGATCCATGCATAATTTATTAAATCAGGCCCGCAGATAGGAGGGGGGGGGGGGGGGGGGCCCCTGGTCAGAAATTCTCTCAAAAACTTGCAGTTTTTCACCATTCTGAGCACTTTTCACATGATTTTTTGCCAAAACAACAGATGCCAGCAAGATCATACTTATAGTAGAAGGCTAGGCTCAAATAAACCTCAAATTGAGGTATTATCATTGAGATACTGATACTATACATACGATCGTGCTATCAAAACTGTCAAAAAGCCCCCCCCCCTTGGCAAAAACTCCACCCTTGGTAAAACCGCTCCCCAATGGTGAATCCTGGATACGGGCCTGTAAATGGTCATCGTGGTTGTACCAGACAGCAATGCAATGTTTTGATTTGCACACATTTTTATTTTTAAAAATCTAATTTAGAGCATCCTAATCATGTGAAAAGTTCAATTTTTTTGAATAGTTATATTCCTTCTATAAAGTGGGTACACTTTTTGGGAGACCCTGTATTTGCAGTTCAATGCCAATGTGGAAATCAATATACAGGGAAATTCGATCTTGAATTTGTAAAATAATAACAAGAAAGGTAGCACCAAATTAGCTTGATGTATTCATGAATGGATTCTCAAAAGTATACAAAATATATATAATCTTATTCTGTAGCTTCGGGACAATGACTATTCCTATTCGGTAGAATGGAATATATCTTTCAACGACTTCTATGACGCTTATGAAAGATAATAGCTTGGATTCAAACATAGCACAAGTTGAGACATACTAATAAGGTATACTTTACAGTTATACAATGCTCAGAGTATCCATCATTACTTACAGAAGGCAAAGAACGACTCGCTGATATCGTTTTCTGCGAGCTTTTCGAATTGGGTCATGTTGGTTTCATGCTTCGATTTGCATTAATAGCCTACACATATGGATAATCGTTTAGGAACATGTTGAAAACATATTCCAGCACCGAATGCATTACTCTATATTCATTCTTACCTTATGCTATCTGATTTGTTTGACACATTTTCGTCACCTGGCTCGTCCAGTGACGAACGAGACGCCATATTTATCGGGATTCAGTAAAAACACAACTCGGGTCATTGACTTGCTGGAACGAAATTCGGAACACAGGATATTGATCACCCGGGGTGTAAGTTGTATTCCAAGAAACTTATCAATTTAGAAATGCAAAATGTTCAATTTTGTTTTTCAATTGTAATAATGGCACCTGTAGAGAACAACGTTTTACAAAATTATTTAAAACGGAGATATTAACTGATGTAACATTCGTTGGCATGTGTCAGGGAGTAAATAAGAAGAATAATGCATTTGATTCTATATCTTGTTCCCAAAGGAGTTTGTTAAGGAGCGGTATATCTTAACGTACTTTTATCATCCCGAGCTCAAATATTTCGAATCCTTATTTAGACAAAGCTTTGTTGAGAATGGATTCAAGATGTACTCAAAATTAATACGCTAAAAGATGTATTATCATCTTAATAACCACTTCACAAATTATTTTGGAAATCAAAGATGTACGATTTTTGAGATTTTTTCGAATGTTGACTTAGTTACTTGGCTTGACTGTATCTCAATAATCAAAAAAAAGAATATCTACTACTTATTATTCATCCTCCGATTAGAGGGCTTCAAAATCAAGAATACAATCATGTACATGTATTATACAATCATGCTATATACAATTTAGTTGTTTCAGAGATTCAAATACATGTCTTTTAACTAATGATTACAGCCACATTCAATAATCAAATCAAAGAATATCTACTACTTATTGCTTCACATTGATCTAGGACATTTTTCTAATTGCTTCTGATAAAATCTGCTTGTCAAAGTGCAAAAAGAATAGAGGTGCATTTTATTTCTTCATTAAAACTTTTAAATTATAAACTTTAAATGGCACTAACTGAAGGATAGATAGTATAAAATAGAAGTACAACATCTATGTTGTAACATGTAGTAAGATTTTTAAATTCAGTTCAAATAGAGTAACGTGAGATTAAAATGCACAGTTCGCTATAGTACGATGAGCCAGAAAAACCATTATGATTTTGTCAAAATTGAAACTGAGCTGCCTTGTTAATATGCGAAATAAAAATCTGTCAGATGGGATACAAATGTCCATGTTTGTAATAGAGTAATATCATTGATACACTGAAGCAAATTTCATATAAATAAATCATATTAATTCGAGAAAAATTATAACTGACTTTTTGAACTTGTTTTTCCATGTGGGACTGCATATTGACGGAAAAAATTCCTAATTCAGTATGATAATCTACTGGATCATCCAATAATGAACAATTTAAGTGTATTAGTCTAAAAGCACTTAAACCAAGGGCGTTACAA